GTTCAATCCAAATACTTTTCAAAGATTAATGCTGGTTGTTTGATACACTCACGGTTGTGTGTGAGACTAAGCCTTTCTTACTGTTGGTCGTCAAAGCTTGGCTCCAAACTCACGATCCCAAACAATATTCTAGTGAAACGGGACAGCAAAGAACTCTCAGGCAGAACCAGATGGGAGCTTAAAGAACTTTTTGTTAAGCCATTGTGAGCGCCGGAAAAAGAGAGCAGCACACAAATCCCACTCCCAAATGACTTACTTGGAAAAAATCTGCTCAAGACTGCAAATACAAAACAGCCTGAGCAGCCCGGGAAGCTGAAGGAGAAATATATGAGGAACATAACATACATTAGAAGAAAGAGTGTCTGGAGGACATAAACGAGATTCCTCATGCATTTGAGTATTGCCCCTTTATTTGGTTTTGTCCAATTAAATATACTTTTTTTTTCTAGATTGACCTTTTTGCACACCTCGTAAATAAACATTTAATGCCTCTAATGGTTTGCCATTTTTAATCAAAGACCAACATTGTGCAACCGAAATAAATGTCACACACTTTGGAGAAGTTTTTGAACAAACTTGTATTTAGTCCATGATGCTTCAGATCTCATGACATTTAAAATGTGGCTTTTTAATTTCTATTACAAAATGTTTGAGGCGTTCAAAGTGTTACAGTCAGTTTTCTCTATGAACAAGTTTTTCTATTGGTTGATTCTGCAGCTCAGGAATTAAGTCAAATGCAAATGTTTAGTGCCAGTGCAGAGGGAAATGTTGACTTCTTTTAGGATGTGTTCTTCTTTTTAAGTTAATTATGTCATGTATGTACATTGTAGTAATATAACTCTTTAAACCCAAAAGAAAACCTTTGTGAAAAAATGTTTCCAAACCTTGATGACTTTACTTTACAACATTGTTACAATAAGCAAATGTCAACTTCCAAAACTCAGGGCTACGGAGTTTTTTCCCTATGAAATACCGCTTTTCTTTTTTAAACCACAACACCTCCACACACAACCACACACATCATTCCCGTGTTTTATCCACAAATCACACTGTCCAATGTAAACACCAGATTTTAAGATGATAAAACACCAGACTCCTGGTAGTTACTGGAATAATTTGCTGATTGCTAACCAGCTGCGTATCACTATGAAAAAGAAAATGTAAATGAACAATGCTTCACTCCCCTCAGTGCTTACTGCAAGGACAGCTCCCTTCTCATATACCAGCAAAACTCTGCCAGGCGATGTTTTCAGATGCCTTTCATACAACAACCTGTACTTCCTCATTTTATCTGTGCCTGCCCTCAGAGTCATCTCTAAAGAGAAGCTGCCCCAGAATCAAATCATCACGTACGAAATCAGCTGGTGAGAACACACAAACATGGCAGAAGGCAGTGTTCCTGTGGATAATGAGGATCATTATTTGAATAATGTAATGTTGGGGTCAGACTTTCAGGGCTAATGATATGAGCCAAAATACAGTGGGAAGAATTACGGCACACAGAGGAGCAAGAAGCAGCTGCAGCAGAGCTGCACCAGCTGTAGGGAGAAAGGGGAAGAACCAGCTCGAGCTCTGGTCCATCCAATAAGGAACGGCCTTGGAAGGCAATGAGCCTAGTGCTTTCTGGGTGTTGAAGTATTTGAACCCTTTGGACGAGAACGACACAGCCCATTTTCTAGAATTTCTCTGGCTATGTAGCACCATTTAAAAAAATAAAATCACCTTTCTACTGCAAAGACAGTTTAGTTCTATGACTAGTCTATCTTCCCACCCAAATTCCTTCTTTAAGTTGAATTCAGACATTGCTAAAAACTTGCAAACACTTTTGTTGGGACATCCGTATATATTGGTGTTCTAAATCAGAACATTTCTTCTTTGTTTTACAAGATCTTGTAAAATTATAGTTTATGAGCTTGTTAGGATCAGTGGTGAAAAACCGTCGCCCTGCTTTGAATAACTGTTAGACTTTGCTGTTTGTCAGAGGCCATTAACACTTACAGAGGCAACTTCTCCATTTCTGTCCTTAATTCCCAAGGCATCCATAGACTGTGTAAAACATAGACGTGGTCTCACTGATGTTGCCCATTGGGTTCTAAAGAGGCGTTATGAAGCCGAACGACAGCGGGCGCCATATTGGAAATGCTATCTGAACCCAACTTTTGGTCAATCTAGAACAGTGGTTCTACCACCGGTGGTATGCGGGCTCCCTGTGGTGATACGCAAAGAAATCTCCACAATATTAAAAAAAAAAAACCTTCAGCATAAAACATCAATTCTTTTTGTTGTACTCTTTATCTTATCTGTCTTGTATCTATTGGGTTGTATTGATATCAAATGTGTTTTCCCCTCTAAATTAATCTAGTTTTTGCAACAAACAACTTTAATCTGCTCAATTTATGCTCGCGCGCACAGACATAAACAACAACAGGAGTACGCCTCACGTTTTGAAAAGTTCCACTCGATATTCCGTTATAGTTCAGAACTGAAACAACAGCAAGCAGCTGTAGGCCTACATTAACAGATTAATGTAGGCCTACATTAACAGATATTCTGTTAGTTATTGGAGTTCAGCACACAATCGGCAGAAAGCAGCTGTACATTAACATTTTTAAAACGGAGCCAGGAGAAGCTTCTGTTGTGATGCATGTACGGACAGTCGCTCACCCTCTCTCTCTCTTGCTCTGAAGCTGATGTGATTCTGCTCTCTTTTGCTGTCTTAACTGTGCACAGGAGTCAAGAGGGATTTTTTTTAAAGGGAGTTTTGCTATGTTGAACGCAGAGCCTTATAGTACAGCGGCTCTGGTTGCACGGAGCCTGCACTCTCGCGTGCCTGCTCTCTCTCTCTCTCTCTCTCTCTCTCTCTCTCGCTCGCTCTCTCGCACATGCAGCAATTTTATGAATAAATGAAAAATTAAATAAGAACAGGTCGGAAATATACTTGAGCCCAGGTATCGTGTTTGTGTGGGAAACACTGGAGATTAAATATTCTCAAACAGGTTGTTGGTATAAAGTTGTCATTTTTATTGAGCTGCACTTGTCAAAGTTGTGTGGAGTTTAAGTGTCAGTTCTAGCGCTAGCACTTAGTAATCCTATAGTGTGGCTGCCAACAGTCAAAAATAAATAATATTATTTTATAAATATATATGCCTCGTGCAAAATGTGTGTAGGAATAGGCCTACAGTGTATTTTAAGGTCTACCATAATGGTGGTACATGGAGAGCCAAATATTTTTGGAGGTGGCACGCAGTCTAAAAAGTTTGAGAACCACTGACCTAGAAAAATGCAGAGAGGTGGAGCTGAGGCAGTTCCTTAAGCCTCCTGGCATACAGCTACAATGAAACCACCAGTCAGTGAACTCTGCTATGCCCCAATCCTGCAAATCTGTGAAAAATCTACTTTTATACTGGGACCTAATCAGAATTTCTTGGCTTTTGCAGCCAGCCTCAAGTGGACAGTTGAGAAACTGCAGTTTTTTAAACTTTGCATTGGCAAAATCTTTTAAACACCTGAGGTTGTGGCTTGGGTGCACCCAACGTTTTACGCAATATGATAAGCAGCAGTTGGCTACTAAACGGATCATAGGATCAAAAAGATGCACTTACAGTGGAGTAGTCATGAGTAACTATCAGTCAATGTCTAAAGAGGCTTAATCAAAAGTAAAGATAGAGCAGATTTGGTTGAAAGGAATGCAGAGAGAACGGGCGAGTACATCAGCATACAGGGCACTGCTTTCTCTCACAGCGCTCTCATTAGATCATGAGTTATGCTGATGGCTCGGTCCTGGTTCGTGTCAGCACCTCTTTCTTTATCTCCCTCTCAGCTGTTGATGCATTTCACATGAAGGGAGGATGATAGTTCTCATGAAGAGAGCTACCACCCAAATCAACAAATCATCACCCGGCTATCTCCAAACACTGAGCTATAACATGTGTGATAACAGAGATCAGACATTCATTCAGCTGTTGAAGTACAGTGTCGGTCTCAAATGTTACTCTTTTACCTAATTAGCTTAAATAACCAAACCTGTTTTTTTTCTTCCAGTTTTTATCAAATAAAAATCAACTGTTATGTTGATTCTGCACATTTCTCACTTCAAATATCCATTCATAATCAAGCCCTTTGACATCAGAGTACAAATAGTTGGGTATTTAATTTGTAAATAATTGAAAATCAAACCGCAAACTAGTCATGATACCATTTTAGTTTTTTTAAACTTTGGTACAATTCTAGTAAAAATGAAATGACAGCGATACCTGTGTTGATTCCATGGCAACAAAAATCAAACAAAAAAGTCCTAGCCACCCAATCTTGGGTACATTTTTGTTTCAGAACCAAAAAATGTAGACAAACTCCTGCCCACCGTCTCACTCAGACAAATAGGTTGGGCAGCATTTGAAATATTGTCAAATTAACAGTGCAATTAAAAAAAGGTTATCTCTATTTTAGCAGCTTTTGGTGGAAAATATGACAGCAGATCTGAAGTTTTTTTAAGCGTCAGTGCTTTTCCATACAGTGGATCATTAAAAAACGAAAATGATATCGAACATTTGGACAACCTTACCGTAAACATGTTACCTTCTAACAGTGTTTGAATTTGAGTTCTTTGTAATTATTTCAGGATTTTCTGGGCAGCCATCCTCTAAAGCTTTTACCCAAAGTGTCCTCTCAGTCCACACTCTCGTGTTCCACTGTTACTGATTTGCAGTAAATAGGATGAAATATGCCAAACCACTGTTTGAAAACCATGTTTTCCAGGAATTATACTGCTTCACTACTAAAACATTTCATGGAAAAAATATAGCTCCATGGATTATGTTCACATGCAACTTCCTTCTCTTGTGTAGGAGTTTCTGCGTTTTAGTACCACAGGATGGTAAACGTAAGGATTATAGTTTCCAAATGTATTTGGCTTTGCACAGTTGTTGGGTTGGCTCACGTTGGGGATGTTTGCAGTCTGAAATTTGCGATGAAATAAATTGAATAACTAATTAGGCTCTCTTGAGATGCCATTTATTTAAGATCAAGTTACTTCTGATAATATTTGACACAGTTAATTTGTCGTGCGAGTTTTAGCCGTCATATTACAAATAAAAATGGTACAAAGAATAAAAAAAAATCTGTACTAAAGCAAAACAAGCTCCTGCCATCAGTGTTATCCTCCTTCTGGTTCTGGTCCTTTTTCAGCGTTAGCTTTCAATGTGGATGCGCGAACAGAACTGGACTGCTGCTGGAGCCAACAATATCTGTAAAAAACAAAAACAATCTAGTTTTTAACATAAACCAAACTATTAAATATTAAAGATCAAACCCTTTAGACATCAGAACAGTGTGTTGACTCAAATGAGCATAGAAATCTTAGTACATCATGTAAAGTGGGAGAGTAGTTTCCTGAACAAATAAAACATCTATCTGTCACATTAGGTTTAGAGAGCAACCTTTTCCAGAATTCAAACGATTGCGTTTTGATTACAGGCAGAATTTAACCAAACTAAAAGACAAAAAAATCCTTCTATTCATCAGTAGATTCATTATGTGATAAAGAATGTATTATTTGATGTCTCTAGTCTGTGGATATGCTGAACCAGACAGGCCAAGTTACGCTTGAGACGAGGAAGGAGGTACTTCAGTGTGGATACCTGGTGTCTGATTATTTCATGCAACACTGTAGCTTAATGGTTGCCTGATGGGACACAGTGGACAGAGTCAAAAATCGGGGAGATAGAGTGGGGAGTGACATGCAGGAATGGAGCCACAGGACAGTCGCTTCAAAAAATGATTGCTGTATGTTCTATTCTTGACAGGGATTACTTGATATGTAACTATGCCTCCCTTAAATAGTTGAAATATGTAGCGTTGTTAGGATACCAGAATTTTATACTTAAATACGATCCTAGTAAAAATCTAACAACATCATTACCTGTTTTGAAAAAGTGGCAACAAAAACACAAGTCACCAATTACTGGAAAATGTCATGATTTTAAAAACCACAAATGATAAGCAAACTCCTGCACATTGGCTTGACTGCACAAATACGTTGGCAACCATCGGATAAAGATAACAGAGATTGTGTTGTTTTAAAACAATTGGTATCAAGAAGTATTGAAAATGATGACAACCTTTTAAATGTGTTTTCCTTTATAGGAAAGCTGTTCCTGAAACAACAGTTAAAGTAAGGTTCTATTATGTTCTTAGGTGTACACCAAAGATCCAAGACTGGTTTAATGGTCCCACTTTTTCAGTCAAAAGCTTAAAAAGTGCATTAAAGGACAGGTCAGATAAACTGGAATTTATGTTATCTAACTTTCCACATAAAACTCCGGTCAATCTCAAAGAAGCCAAGCTTAAGCCCCTTATGGAGCACGAGTGCATCAAGATCCCCGGTGAGAGACCCTGAGCCTGCAATCCATCTGGAAGTGATTGAAGGGAGATCTGGTCGTTCCCCTCTCCCCTGCGTCGCACTGCCCTCGCCTACTGTCGTCCCATAATCCCGTCTAACAGCCGCGTGGGCTCTGCTGGCCCTTTCTGACGCACTGACGGGTTTAACTTGGTCCTCTTGTAAAAAAGAAAAGAGCCTGGGTATTTCGGCAAGCTACTCCAAAAAGACACTTTAAATATCAGAGGGGGATTTAAAATCGAGTCCATTAGGGCTTTTCTCAAGCCTGTAAATTGTCAATTAGTGTGTAATTCTGATCTGGTCCACATGCAGAGAGTTCTGCCATGGAGGAGACGAGGAGGGTCTCATTTGGCTCGCCTTCACATTACTTTACATTTGTCCCAAGTATGAGGTGATACTGCGCTTTATTGTGAATAAAGGATTGAGAACATGCTGAGGTGTTAGAAGTCTTCTTTCTTCCTATCCTTCATAAAAAATTATCCAGGAAAACACCCAACATGCTGCGATGGATTAGCCTCAGTGGGCATGAAGACCGGGCCAAAAGGGCTCACTGTGGTTCAAAGCTCTAGTGGGAGGACATTAAACTGTGTTTGTGTCTCCTGATCAAACACACAGCTGGTTGGCAGCGGTATAAACCAAAGCTAAATCTGCTGTATTAAACAGGACGTCCGTATTTCAAAATGGCTTTGGATAAAAGCATCTGTTAAAAACGAATTATCATTAGAATAAATTCCTGGATTAGACGTTCTGAGTAAAGAGACGCAGGATATTTACGTTTTACATTTTACTTGAAACATTTAGCTTTGAATAAACTTGCATTCTCTGAAAGAGACAAACAAACATAAAGAACAAAGTATCCACTTCGGATTTGTGGCTTTCAAGTTTTATATGAATCAAGTCAAAAATAAATCTAAGTCAAACTCCTATCAAAACCCAAAGTAAGGCATTCAGATACTTAAACTAACATGGACAAATAGAGGTAAACTTTTCAGATTGTAAAACAAAGAGAGCCAGGCTCCGCCTCCTCAGAGAAGGGTCAAAAATCCCCAGGAGTTCTGGAGAGAAGAATGATCTCAAAGGCAGCAGAAAATGTGAATGAAGGGGGATTTCTCTCTTACTTTTTGATAATTTTGAAACACGTAAATTTTAAGCCCTGTCTGCCTTTTGATTTGAGTAAAAATAAATTACATTTATGTCAAGACATTAACCTGGCAACCTGAAGAGATGCTCAGTGACAACATCGACGTACTGGGCAATAATCCTTATAGAGTCTGAATGTGACTTAAGAGCAAACAAAGATGGCGGAGAAAGGCCAAGGAGAATAAGCGATCACAGTTTTTGAGTAGTGGAGATGGTGTGAACATGGGCAGTACATTTTACAACACGAGCTGGGGGTGAGTCAATTTTGATTTGCTGTAGTTGTTATGCTCACTTCTTCAGTAAACTCACTTCCCAGTTGGTGATCTTTTTGTTCCATGTGACAATCCACAGTTCCCCCCATACAACAGAATATTCGATAATAAATATCAAAAAGTTTCAGAGCAGATTGGATCATTCCAAACACATCTAACACCACAGATAAATCCATCCATCATCTATACTGCTTGTCCAATTCGGAGTCGCAGGGGGCTGGAGCTGATCTGAGCTGTCACTGAGCGAGAGCCCTAGACTGGTCGCCTATCAATCACAGGACTGACACATGGAAAACAAACAACCAAACAAAGAAACCAGCACAGTCACTCCTTGGGACAATTGAGAGTCACCAGTTAACCTAACGAGTTGTCTTTAAACTGTGGGAGGAAGCAGAAGTACCTGGACGAAACCCACTCATGCACGAGGAAAACAGTGTAGAGAAAAAGCATGCGTGCTAAAACACTCAAACAATGAATCTGGTTCATCCAATGTGATTGTGATGTCCATGTTAAATAAAAATCTATCATCATCATCTTCTTCAAAATGAAAGCTCGACACAGAAAGGCTCCTGTCTGGCCCGCAACTTCTTGCTGTGAAGCACCAGCGCTAACCACTTCACCACTGTGAAGCCCGAACAGGAAAATCTGACAAGATCATCTTCAGACATTCAAAAATCTAGATTTTACTTACTGTTATTGCTGGGGGGAATCGGTCCAATAATCGTGTAGTGTTTACACCGCTCAACACAGTAGTTACAGACATTATGTCACGTCTCTTTCATTTGTTAAAAAACATTTTATCATTTTTTTCTTTAAGTTCAAATAGAGGGTAAAATAGGTTGCTGATCAACTTTTTAGCTTTCCATTGAAGAAAGATGATTTGTGACCGACTGTAGGCAAAATGTAAACATGATCATGAAAATGTAGAAATACTTTTAGACTGTGACCATCCCATATGTCACAGTGATGACTTGAATGGTGCTTTCACACATGCACAAAACTCCAGAAAAATGTGTGAACGAAAACAAAGTTTTCCAAGGTCAGGGTTAGCCGATGTGAGAATGCAGCAGGAAATATTCCGGAAAACTTAACGCATGAGTGTGGGTTACGACGTTTATGTCCTATATCTACAGGACCACAGACTGTATGCACGCGTCTGATGAAATCTCCATGCATGTAAGTAAACTGCTTAATTTTGTTTTCTGTTGTTGTTGATACCGGTCTCTAACCACTTGAATTTCAAGGAAGAATGTGCAACTTTTTGATCCAGTAGATGTCGCCCTTGAGCACCAGCATGAAACCAAAACAACTCGAGCTGCATTGTTGTGTTAGCATGCTAATGTTCTTTAGTTTGCTAGTAGCTTCACACTGCATGTAAATTGACACAAAATGACCATGATCTAAAAACGCTTACGTTACGTTCAAATAAGCAGTGAGTACAGTATGTTGCTCTTTTCTCTAGTCCCTCAATTAAACAACTTTTATACGCAAGGGGACGAGCCGGCCATCCCGTCCATGTAAACACCCTGTGGATACGGCTCGGAAAGCTCGGAAAGCATCACAAACAGCCAAACTCTGGTGTCACACTCAGTGTAGACAGTCATGACTAACATTATTTTCAGGGGATATACTTGATTTCTGCTACATTTAAGTGTAAAATGTTGCACATTCAGCCTTTAAAGTTAAACAGCTTGTGTTTTCTCTTTGGCTGCTATTTTTATGTACTCAAGGAAACATTGTAAACAGACTGTGCAGCTTGGCGTGTTAATGGCTATCACTTTTATACTTCAATAAACCTTCCATCTGAAGGTGAGAGAGTGATATACAGTTAAAGTCAATGTCAAAAAACTCCTTGCTATGTGCATGCACTGAGTTGCTTTACTGTATGGTTTTTGCCCATTAACCTTCATTTGTTGCTGTGTGCATCATGTGGCTTGTAAAGTTAAGCCCTGCTATTTTACGACTGACAGATCTGTCCACTTCTAGCATCAATTCCTTGTAAAACTTAAACAGTTATAGCACATAAAAGCAAAATAAACATAAAGCTAAATGTTTTATTTCTTTAAATAGATTGAGAGGAGCTGTTGGGATGTTGTTGGCCCATCTGACTCTGAATCTGTAACATGCCCATTAATGGATCCTGCTTCCCTTTTGGTCTTTATGACCCAAAAAAGGTGAAGCTAACATGCTAAATGCTAATGATGGAAGGGAATTAGAAAATACTCCATTTGTGATTAAAGCAGAAGATTAGGAGAGGCTGAAATGCTCCTCAGTAACACGCCTGCCCTACCGTCCACATAGTGGGCTCCGAGACGCTCCCTAATTATTTCCTCTTAACCGCTCAGCCGTCTTTCACCTCTGGCTGGAGCCTATTTGATGTCTGGCTTTTTCTGCAAGCACTATGACACAAAGACCTAAATAACTTCCTCCACCCCCG